GAGTAGCAAAAAAAGTCCATGTTGGGGTTCTGTGTGACAGAACAGAATGAAGTGATTCTTGATCAGTGATAGATGTATTTATGTGTTTATTTTTTGTATTCTCTTGGATTCTCTTGGACCTCTTCATGAAATAATGTTCTTAGTAAGTATTCCTATGTTTTACAGAATTTTGTTTTCAAAGAAAATACCTTGCAATAAAATTACACTTATGGACGAGCCTCAGCAGTGATTACACAGTCTTGAAGCACTGCACTGAGAGGGCGTAACAGTAAAACAACAGAGCCTATCACCAAGACTTTCTCACATGAATAAAACAACTTGGATGCAAGGTGCAAAGCCACATTCATTGTCACCAATATAAAATATACCAGCATATTACTATCTTGAGCCATCTAAACAAACAGGAAATGGTGAGTGGAGAGAGAGCAACACAATTTGCATAGCCCATATTCCTTTATTTAGAACACCGCTTTGATGACTGCATCTTCAGTTCCTGGCACACAAACATGGGATGCGAGCCCATGAAACCCTCTAATGTACTCCCAAATGGCTCAGCAAGTTCCTTGCTCCATGTAATTCTTTGCTTTTCATAAGGATTTGTTGCTAACAAACAGGCTGGTAACCACTGTTCTCAGCAGAGTAACCTCTTCTAATCAGCACAGTGATCGATTACCTCGTGAAGCCTAGCAAAGAGAAAATGAGCCCTGTGCTGACTAATGGAGAGCACATGCTCTGCTCCTCCCTACCCTGCCACCCACCTTCCCACACTAGCCAGCTGTGGGGAGGATGACACAAATTTTCTGTTGCTTTGACATCATTCCAGTAATTCCTTCTAACATAAGTCACCATCAGTGGGGTCATTACAGGTACATCACCTCACCAAACTGCAGCCTTCCCAAGAAGAAAAGGCTGCTAGAATAGGAGGGCTTATGCTGAGCTATGTAGAACGCCTGGCTGGTGCCTGGAATCAGCACTGGGAATTGTGATGGCTTTAGGAAGCTCGTACTGAATGAATTTAACTGAGTTAATACTATGTCTTCTACCATAGTCTTGACTTTGGTGCTTGACAAACAGCAGAACTTGCCAAGGTCATTCCTTCCCACCTGGATACTTGGAGGATCTCATGCCCAGGCCCATAGCTAACCCCGTGTCTGCCCTTCCCCCCAAAACCATTTAAGAAGAATAGGTCTCTCAGTAAAGCATGTCAGAAAAAGAACCCGCCTCCTAGTCAAAAACCCTGTGTTTTCACCCCACAGACAATAAACCCACTGTTCTCCTGACAAAGGCAACTCCAGGGGAGAAAAAAAAAATGCATTTTGAGAGACTGAAACAGATTTCTGTGCTTCCTGGGTGCCCATCTGGAAGAAACTTGTCAAGTTCATTGTTTTTCCTAGGGATGGGCAGTGAAACGCAGCAGGCACCCAGCCTTGGAGCTGGTAGGGCAAGGAGCTGGGACCCTGCTGTGCCACAGTTGCCCCAGGGAAGGGCGGGATTGAAGGAAGCAGTGACGAGGTCAGAAGTAAGAGCAGCCAGAAAATCATGGCTTGTCATCTCAATAGAATAGCTTAATCATTTCTACAGAAGGGGCATTTCTTCCAGGATATCATTCTAATATAAAATTTCCTATCAGATAACCCTAGCAGATGTCATGAACTAGGTTTTCCTGACTGCTTTGTGTCAGCGTGGGAGGGAACACACAGAAACTCACATCCAGGGGTGATGTGGGAGAAACAAGTCACAGAGAGTTACAGATTATATTTTCAGAGTTGCAAACAACAACCTAGAGATCCAAATCCTTCCAGAGCTCATTGCTCTGTATTCCCAGTTCCAGTGACAGATCCCTAGAACCACAAGTATTCAGTTGACTTGAACATTTCCAGTGAATACCTGGAAAAACACCATCTGGGATTCTCCTTTATGATTTTCCTTTCTGTTCCACCACGCGCTGCAGGCCTGGAAGGAGTGAACTGGGCCACATCCGGAATCCATCAATTTCTGTGTGACCTTCTCATCTAAAATGTTAACACCCAACTGAGGATCCATCTTTTCCTCATTTTTCCATTGCTGTGTTTGATAGTTCTCAGGGATTCTTCCTAAATGCGCATAGAAGCTGCATTTTGCTTTCAACTGCACTCTGTGTCTTCACTGAGCATCAGTGTGAACTGTCTGCTTTCATTCCCACCCCTGGCCACCTCCAGAATTTTCCTGATACGCACTGCCCTGCTTTCTTGTTGTTTGCCTGAAGAACCAACTCAGTTGTGCAGATGACTCTGTGGACTATGGATGACAATATTGCTTTAAATAACTGTGGCTCGGGTCGGGAGTGGCAAACAGAGGAGATTCAGAGCTTGCTACCAGCTCCGTGGTGATGGGCTCATGCTTTGTCCTGCATTCCCTTAGCCGCCTGTCACCAAGTGATTTCCTGAATGGCTGTCACCAGCCATTTCCTGGAAAGTAACCAATTGATTGTGTTCCCATTTTGCTATGGCCATAAAGCCTGTAACAATGAAAAACTTGGCTCGTCTTGCACCACTGTGCTGAGCCTTATCTGGACCACATTGCAACCCCCAAATGAAGAAAGCTCCATCCTGCCTGCTTCTTTGCATACGGGCTGTAAATACCTGGAGATATGTTTTATATGAGTGAGGTGCCATGGAGGCTGTGACATGCATACTATTGCTTCTGGCAGTCTCTTGCCAATTCTCCATAACTCACTTTGGCATCTGATACCACCTTCCAACATCTGAAAGCTGAAAATAGGAAATGGCATTTGCAGGGCTGTGATATGATGTGTGCCTGGCTTTAAAAAGGATCTCAAACTCAAAGCATGGGAGAGCAAAAAGGCATACCAATATCACCATGGATATGTGACATTAAACAAACCACTTGTCATGATACACAGCTGACTACTTGCCAAATGGAACGGGATCTTCTTATTATTCATTGTTTTGCCCTGTAAAACCTACAAAACATTGAGAAAGAAAAATCTCCAGAAAGGTAGTGTCACTCTTCTGACCACCCCTAGCCAGACTGCAGGCCCTGGTTCAGTAGGTGCCTTCCCAAAAGTGTACTTACTCACAGGCATCAGAAGACCAAAACATGAAATCATGGTGGGCATCGTACGTAATCCCTGCAGGAAACAGAGCTGCAGAATGAAGTCACTTCCTTGAGGTAACTGATACTTGCAAAGCTGCCTGTCCTCCAAAGGTTCTAATTCCATCCTTACCGTACCTCACAGCTGGGGGCTCAGTGGGGTGTTTTTCTGGTATCTTGCATGCATGAGGATTGCAGCAGCCATGCAGGGGATTGTCCCTCTCCTCTCCTCCATCACACCTCTCTGCACTCAGGAACCCAGCTCTGCCTCCACCACAGTGGACATGAGCTGGAGTTACCCCTCCTTTTGGTTTCACCTCCGTAATTCACTGTGGCCAGGTAAGGGCCCAAAAGGGGGCAAAAGGGCTGCCGTGTGGCCAGCATCTCCAAGGATCCCCTTTGCCCTTACTGATGTCTCCCCCCAGAAACTCTGTGCATGTCCTCCACTGCTGTGTCCTTGCACAGCACGTGGAGGGGAAGAAACTCCAGCTCAGCCTTCATGCTGCCTGCTTTGACCTCTAAAGACGAGCCTCGTGTCCGGGGAGGGTGTCCTGCCTACCGCTTCCCCGTCCTTGTTCGTTTGGCAGAGGACAAACGAAAAAGGGGGAAAGCAGAGAGGGGGAAAGCCAGATGAAGATGCTATTTAAAATAGGACAACACCCAGCTCATCCCTGCAGCAGGCCTCCCCCCATCTTCTCGGATACTTCAGCACGGCCGCCCTTGAGAGGAGCTGGTGGCCTTGGTGCGAGAGGCGCACGGTGCAGGAGCGCTGATGGCGGGGGCATTTGGGACACGCGTGTCCCTGGTGGGGCTGCACAGGGCAAGTCCTGCCACAGCACTGCGGGGCACCACATAGGTGGCAGGGCCGTGCCCAGCCAGGACGAGCACGTTTACAAAGCCCTTCCCCACGGTCTGTATTATCTCATTTTTCCTGCCAACGCAAGGAAACAATTCACAAGAAGAAGCCTCACAAAGCCGACCACAGCCCGCACACCTGGGGCGGCCGCTAAATTGCGGCCCAAAGCCGGGAGAGGAGGCAGGCAGGGCCGGAGGGGCTGCGTGTGCCCGCACCCCCTCGCCTCCCGCATGCGGCGCCCGCGGCTGTGGAAAAAGGTGGATCTCGGATCTCGCCGCCGGGAGAGGGGCCGGCCCCGGGGAGCACCCACGGGGGTCCGTGGGGTCCCACGGCGCTGGGGCCGGGCACCTGGAGGCCGGGATGCCGCCGGGAGCGGGGGCAGCGCCGGGCGCGGGGAGCCCCGCGGGGGCGCCCGGCCCCACGCGTGTCCGCGGCCGGGGGGTGGCCGTGAGCGGAGCGGGGCCGGCGGGCAGCGCCCTGCGCCCGGGCTGCGCTGCGGGCCGCGGAGCCCCGCTTTGTTCCCGGGGGGAGGCGCCGAGAGGGGCGAGGGCGACCCGCAGGCACACACGTGTGGCCCAGGCGAGGAGGAGCGGGGCCCTTTGGATGCCGTCCAGCCCCGCCTGGCCCCTTCCTGAGCCTCCCCGTGTGCGTGTGTGTGTGTGTGTGTGTGTGTGTGTGTGTGTGTGTGCGCCCTGCGAGTGTGTGTGTGCTGGGTGTTGTTTCTTTTTTTTTTTTTTTTTTTTTTTTTTCCCTCGCTTGCTCCAGGTTTTACTTCTGGTTGCCTGTAAGGGTTTTGCTCCTCCCTTCTGAAATCCTATATTAGCTGTGGCCAAAGCTGGGTAAGAAACACAGCTCATTGTTGGCAAGTGCCGATGAGCCTCGCCGAGGAGTGAAAAACAGCTTTGGGGCTGCGGCAGCGGCAGCGATAATATCACCATCACGTAAGCGCCGAGGAGAGAGCCAGGGAAGCCCTCTCTATGCTGGGTGACTTTTACTGACTGATTTCACCGCCACCTTTGAAGCAAAAGAAGAAAGAAGCCGGGAGGTGAGTGCGGAGGTTGTGTAGCTGGTGCTGTGTGTCCCTTTTGTGTGCAACAGGAAAACGGGGACCGGTTAAATACCCGAGGAAAGGTGTTTCTCGGCTGCCTGGCTCAATCTCCTTATCCGTGCATTCTGGTATTTTTATTTTTATTTTTTTTTAAATCGGGACTTAATTGCAAAAGTTGCTGCCAGCGGCTAGGTGGGACTTCCTAATTCTTTGCTGGTTGCCTGCAAGTTAGCAAGAGTGCCTTTTAAAAACGCTGCCTTCGCTGACAAATCCGGGGGGCTCGGCAGCGTTTTGGACGTGGCCGGGAGGAGGCGGCTGTTGCCGTATGCAACACTTCCCGCTGATAGGTATGCACAAGTTGAAGTGGGAAGGCGTGCTGCTGGCTGGATGAGCCGAGGGGACCGGGCTTTTCGTGCCGCGGGCTCCTCTTCCTTTTTCGTTTCTCCCTTTGTGCTCCACGGCGGAGTCGCGGTAGGAGGTTTTTTTTTTTTTTTTTTTTTTTTTTTCTTCTTCTCCCTCCCGCCCCCCCTCCCCAAAGCGAGGACGGCGGCACCGGCGCGGTCGCTTCTGCCAGGGCCAAGCGAGCCGCAGCGGGACCGAGAGCGGGCGGCTGGATGTCCGAGGGGGCGCTTTCCTTAACCCGCTCGCTCGCTAACTTTCCAGGTGGGCGATGGCAGAGCACATGATGGCCATGAACCACGGGCGATTCCCCGACGGCTCCGGCGGGCTCCACCACCACCCTGCGCACCGGCTGGGCATGGGGCAGTTTCCCACCCCCCATCACCACCAGCAGCAGCAGCACCAGCAGCAGCAGCAGCAACAGCAGCAGCCGCACGCCTTCAGCGCCCTGATGGGCGACCATATACATTACGGAGCGGGGAATATGAACGCGAGCGGCGGGGTCCGGCACGCCATGGGGCCGGGCGGCGTGGCCGGGGGGCACCCTGCCGGCAGCATGCCGCCCCCCGCCCGCTTCAGCGGCTCCCAATTCCTGGCCCCCCCCGTGGGCAGCCCGGGAGGGCAGCTGAGCGCCAGCATGCAGCTCCAGAAGCTGAACAACCAGTACTTCAGCCACCACCCGTACCCCCACAGCCACTACATGCCGGACTTGCACCCCGGCAGCCACCAGCTGAATGGCAGCAGCCAGCATTTCAGGGACTGCAACCCCAAGCACGGCGGCAGCGGCAGCGGCTTGCCGCCCGCCGTCCCCCACGTCCCCGCGGCGATGCTGCCGCCCAATGTCATAGACACTGACTTCATCGACGAGGAGGTCCTCATGTCCTTAGTCATCGAGATGGGGCTGGATCGCATCAAGGAGCTCCCCGAGCTGTGGTTGGGACAGAACGAGTTTGACTTCATGACAGACTTCGTTTGCAAACAGCAGCCCAGCAGGGTGAGCTGCTGATTCATTTAAAACAAACAAAGGACTTTCTATCGGTGTGAATGAAAACATTCCCCTAGACGCGGTGTCTCACTTTTCAGTGCTTGAAAAGGTGAGAATCTGGAAAGCAAGAGTAAACTATGCGCTTGTATAAATTCTTTTTTTTTGTTTTGTTTTTCTTTTAATTGCTGCCACTTTTTTTTTTTTTTTGTAGCTTTGACATTCACGTCCCCTCCCATAGTAATAATTTCTAGCGAACTCTGCCTTTTTACGTTGTTCGCCCCCTCCCCTCCTCTCTCTTTATTTCCTCGCAGTAACATGCCCATAATTCCCACAGTGCTGAACTGTTAGATATTAATCTTGGCAAATTGCTTAATCTTGTGGATTTTGCAAACGATGATTTCCAATGACTTGAACTGCATTCAAATTCTGAGTGAACAGGGAAAAAAATCACATTAGTTGGTTGCATGAACTTTGAAGGGCAGATTCTACTGCACAAATGCTGCCATCTTGCTTAATTTTTAACTATGCATTGCAGTGCAGACTAATAATTTTCTTTTTTTTCCAAATATGCTCAACTGGAAGCTTAACAGATGTGGGCCAAACCTTTCCAGATCAGGAAAAGTAATACTGTTACTTAAAAGTCTGCTACCCATTCCCCCTCCCCCATATGTACAGACAATAATATGGTGTGGATGGAATGCTGACTAGTGGCAAACATTTCACAGGTCTTTTTTTTTTTTTTTAGTTAGGTTTATTTTGTTTCTGTCTTCAGCATTTTGACACTGTGCTAATATAGTTTATTCAGTACATGAAAAGATACTACTGTGTTGAAAGCTTTTCAGGAAATTTTGACAGTATTTTTGTACAAAACATTTTTTTGAGAAAATATTGTTAATTTATTCTATTTTAATTTGCCAATGTCAATAAAAAGTTAAGAAATGCTTTAGTTTTTCTAGAAGTCATTTACCAGTATTTTTCTTCAAAATTCTCCCCACTGTCCCTGGTAAGTAGAGCATCTATCTGTACTACCATGTCGGTGTTCAAAAAGACATTCCAACATATATATACTACACCCATATATATGTCATGGTGAACTCGGTAGGTGAGCGGGATTTAAACATACTTACAGCATAAAGCCTCATACGTAACATTGTAATATGCCTGTCAGTGTGGTTTTATGAAATTTAAAGTTGCTGAGGTGCAACTTTTTTGTGACTTGCCAACATACTTGCTTTAAATGTAGTTGTCCAGAGTTATGATGCATAAAGTATTTATTATATTTATCTATTAAACTTGTAATTTTATAAATCCGCTTTCATTTATATAGTAGATTTTGTTCTTTTGTATATTTATTATCTCACCTGGAAGAACTATTTAAAGAAAATGAGTGTTTAATATATAGTAAGTATCTGTAACTTGGGAAAAGAGGGTGGTGGGCTTCCTCCTTTCTCTCTCCCCTGAGATAGTTAGCACAGAAGAGTGCAATCCAGATCTGCATCGCATCAGGACTACGTGTCATTTCTAGTGACTTAGGTGAAGGAGGCAGTAGCTAGCACATCTTCCTAGAAGTATTCCACCATTGGACATCTCTAAAACCTTTCTCTGAGAAATTGCTACCAACTAACAGCACTGAGACAAATTTATAAATGTCTACTTTGAATATTTGGGGAAAAAAAAAAAAAGGCCTGTTATTATAAGGCAATTGACATCTTGTTCCTTAAGTGCCAACTGTTGCAGCCTTCTGGCCCCACTCAGTCCTTGGCAAAACTCCCATAGAAGTTATTACTTTAGTGAGGACTGCAGGATTGGGACCCTGATAATACACGTAATCCCATTTAGCCTCACTTCCCCAGATCAATATAGGACCAATACCACTGGGCTTTCTTTTTGCTTAATTTTTCAGTCTTGTGTTCTGAATTTATTAGGAAGAAAAACAGCATGGTGGATGTAGTTAAATTTTAAACCTGGGCACATAAACAGGGGAGGATATCACCACACAATGGGAGTGTAAATAGCAGTGTTTTGAATCAGGCTGCGAAATTAAACTGATTACTATTGCTAAAATTGTCCCAGCTGGTGAGAAAAGTGATACTTGGCCTTCTTCGCCTAACACAGACATGAAGGAGCTAATACACTTTATGTTAAAAAAAAATAATATAATAATAATACTTGTACTAAAGTATTAACAAAATTAAAAATTGTGAAGTGTACACTTCTGGGAAAATCTGATGATAAAATGATCTCTGTAGTTGGTAACAGCCCATTCTTAGACAACTCTCAGTACCCAAGAATTTAAAAACCAACCATCTGGTTTCAGCCAGTGATTGCTAATGTTTTATGACAGTAAATTTAACATCAAATGGGAGTAAATCTTAATTTATCAACTCACCAATAACATAAAAGAGTGTTTAGAAGAATAAAGGTGTAGTTTTAAGAGCCATTGCCCATCTTGCCACTATATAAATCCTTTTTCCATTTTAAGCCTGTTTGATCTGCACACATCACATTGCTTTCTTCTGCTAGAGTTTGGGAGGGTGATTCTGATTCTAATCAACTTCTTGCAAAACAGACTATCAAATTCTGTGCATACCAAATTGTGTAGATGTTTAAATCCTACATGATCTCCTAAAACAAAAGGGAATATTCTAATTTTAATGATAAAGTGCTTTTGCTTCATAAAGTTGGTTAAGCAACAGATTCTTCACAGTTGAGACATCACTACTTAAGTCTGTCAACATTAAATCCTTCCATATAATCTTTTCCAAGAACAGGCAGCTTCACAGGCATGCTGGTAAAGTCTATTTTGTGTACAACTGCTTGTAAAACTCCTGAGAGCCGCTGCCTCTGAACAACAGCAGCTACTGAAAGCGCTGGCTTTGAGCAAGGCATTGTCAAGGATTTTTGCGATTTCTTAAAAGTAGACCCTGGGGAAATCTGTAAAACAATCATATTGGCTACATTGTCCCTTAATTTCTAATGAAGAGTCAGATCCCAGTGGATATCATGGTTCTGTATATTCTTATTCATAATACCATCTACCAAACAATATTGGGGGCCTGACCCTAATCTTCCTGAGCTGAACCCCTTGGCGATGCTCCCAATGGCTCTCACAGCTGAAGCAGTAACAGGCCTTTGAGTTGATCCTATCTAGCCTCTACGTTGTTTATAAATAAGTTAAAATAATTTATTATTTGAACCCGGTGGTTAGCGAAAAATGCACGATGACCCAGTTTTCCAGCTACCGCCAGATACTCGCAAACGACATTGCTGCCTCGCGTCCCATTAAGTTGCTTTTAGTACAGGAAACTTGACCTCTGTACTTTGGCTGCTTTTCAAAAACTTCCACCATGGTACACGAGATCTGCTCCTCTTTAAGCCACCTCCATAAATAGACGCGCGGCTTTATTTGGAACGCACATCAGCCCTAAGCCTCCCCGCCACACCAGGCGGAAAAATAGGTGCCGATGGACGCCGTCATCTGCCTTTTTCGCCGGGAATGCCGAATTTATGGCCGGCCCCTGTGGCGGGCGGCGGCGACAGCGGCTCCCCCCTCAGCCCCGGGGCCCGCTGCGGCCGCCATTACGCGATGGGCCCGGGGGTGCCCGGCCCGGCTCGGCCCGGCTCCGCCGCAGCCACCTGCGCGGGGCTGCGCGGCGGCAACATGGCGCCCCCGTGTGGGCGGCCGCCGGCGCCGGGCTCCGCGCAGCCGCCGCCGGGCTCGGGGGCCAGGCCCTCGGCCTTGTGGGGAAGGAGAAGGGGCCCCGGGGCTTCGAGGGCTCGGTCCCCGGCACCGCCTGCCCCGAGAGCCCGCGGGATGGACGAGGGGTGGCCGCAGGCTGCGGCGCTCCCCGGTACCCGGTACACGGCTCGGCGCGGCGCTGCTGCCCGAGGCGGTGCGGGGCCTCCCGAAAATTCGCACTGTGGCTTTTAGAGAACAAGCAAACAAACCTTGTGAAAACATGCCTGTTGGTCTCAGGTTTTATTTAAAAAAAAAAAAAAAAAAAAGTTATATAAACGAGGATTATCCCCTGCTTATCTTGTCTTGCTAGGGGGATTGGAAAATTCCAACATCTGGATTTGCAGCGTTCCTTTTATTTGTTTCTTTTTTTTTACTTATTTTTTCATTCTTTTTTTTTTTTTTTTTTTTTTTTTTGCCCCAGGAGATGTTTTCCACACACCAGATCTGCTAGGGAAGTTGCATGCCAAAGTCACTGCGGATCACTGGTGTTTGGCTGAAGGCTACGGCATGTATCTGTGGTGCCACATGGTTGCGCTTCTCCATGGCACGGATGGTTTCTGCATCGTCGTCCTACTTTAGCAGCCGTCCTGCTCCCGTTTCTGCCTTCTGCCTCCGCTCCCTCTTGGCTGTGCTGCCCAGCAGGGCTTAACGTGGGAGCTGGTACTGAAAGGACCGATTCGCCTTGAGCTCAAAACCTGTGCAGAAGTGGGGGTGGGCAGGGACACGGAGAGGAGGGAAATGATGTCAGAAAAAGCAGTTTTTGCCCATGACCTTACGGCTATCCTTTCTGAAGCCTTCATTTCCTCTGAAATACTTGCTGCAGTGCTACCGTGGACAGGAATAAGAAATGCCTGTGTTACAGATCTGGGCTACACATACTGACCTTAACCTGATCTATTTCTGTATCATCACTCTTAGGGATAGAACTGTGAACAAGGACTAAGTAACATTGACAAGAGCTGTTTAAATGATGACGAAGTTTTTTTGTTTGTTTGTTTTTAATATTCAGGCAAATATATTTGTCAGATAACACTGCATATGCAATAAAGCTAAGATGACAAATCAAAGGAATTGGGAACTCAAGGCAGTAGCATTTTCTCGGGGTTTTGTGTATTCTAAGTGCATCATTTTGTCAGTACAGAGGAGGTGTTTTACATAGTTTCTTAAAATATATTTACACATTTCAATATGGTGCCACTATTGTGCTCATGCTACAAGATAAAGCAGAGTCTCTGCAACAATATTGTTGCAGTAGCTGCAACAATAACGAGATACATCAAATGACTGAACAGATGAGCCACTGTTATGGTAGGTTCTCTGTTATTTGCTCTGCCTCATTTTAGAAATAAATTTGCATCACCAGGTTTTTAATAGAGATGGATCAGGTATTTCAGTCCCAGTCCATCTGCTGTGCCCTTCCCCCAGTAAAAAACTACAGAGGGGCAATTTCATCACAAACCTGTAACTGATTTTGAAATATATATATTTAGCATATTAAAAATTAGAAAAAGATTTTTCAGCTCATCAAGCTTCATAAAATAACTTTTCTCACCTTCTTCTTTTTTTTCTTTTTATTTTTGTCTATTGGAGTTTTCATCTGGCAATATATTCCCTACTTTATCAGTCATAAAGTAAAATAAAAGAAACTTTCAGAGTTGTCAACCTAAAACTCTGGCTGAAGATAACAGAGTGTGTACATAGCATTTCTTAACACAAAAGCTACATATTTAGGAGATACTCATCACAATGAGATTTTGGAGTTGCACCTACTTATCTGCAGTTTTGACACTGAGCCTCCTAACAATTGCTCTGTGAATTTTACGCTGCAGCCTACTTAGCTAACATGAACCCAGGAGAGGGTGGAGTTCTTGAAAGTCTATAAAATGTCTTATCTGCTGCTACTTAAACATAAGTAACACAGAGGTTTTCAGATTTTTTCCCCTCTTCCTTTGTTGAGATAAGTATTTAAAGGCTAGTTACTCAAAATCTTTCTGTTTTCTTCAAACTACATTATTTAGCCCAATAATTGATATTATATCTGTCTATAAACAGATACAATATACCTGTCCTCCATCAGCTTTGTATGCCATAAAGTATATATTATGAAGGCAGGAATGGATTCCTGGAATTGTCCAAAGATAGAAAATTACATCAAGCCTCTGCATGTCTGCTTTTTGCAGAAGCTAAATAGTTATACTTTGTGTTGCTTATAGGCAGGCTGCTGGGTTGGTTATCTGCAGGCTGCACTAAGGCTAGCATGTGATCCAACAAGGAGATGAAGGACAAGGTATGAACAAGGTGTGGAGATGAGTATAAAACATTTCTAAGTGGTAAGCAGAAAGAAAAATAGTTACAATCACCAGAGAGAAAGTTTTAGGGATTAGGTCTAAAAAACAGTCAGACCTAACCAACAACAACAACAAGAAAAAAGGTGCCTATGACTGGAACAACCTAGTTTTGCTTTTAATGTTTGACAGTGCACAAACTTGTACCCCAGATAAATGTTGAATTATTCAAAAAAAATTATGTTAGCCTTCCTTACAGATCAGTATTTACAATATAAATCTGAATTTA